TCACACGTGAAGGATTTTTACCAGAGAGAGACTTTTTTGTCCTTTCACACTACACTGTGCCATCAAGACACAGGAACTAGGAGAGAACAACCAGTGTGCCTTTGAAGGCAAGCTGTGACTTGGGGTCACAGGAGACCTGAGAAGTGTAAAGGGAAGGCATGGTGTTTATCTTAAGTTGCATAGGCAGTAGTGGCTTGGCTGTGTTCTCAGAAGTCATCTCTTCTGACTGTGTGTAGGGTAGCAGTAACACTGCTTCACACTGATACATTAACTTGGACCAGGACCAGGACTCCCTTGAGGGCAGAAATAATCATAACCTGTTAGTCTGATCAGTCTTCCTCCCTATCCAGCTTCTCAAAACAGACATTTGCACTAATTTCAAAGAAACTCACCTGGGTGTTATTAAATTAAAAACAAAGCTGCCTCATTTCCTCTTGTGGTTTGAAGCTGTTAGTATCTATATTTAATTGCCCTATTTGTGCTATTTATTTTAATAGTTCCTGGCAATCACATGGTTGAAACACGGTTTGAGTCATAACCTCTATAAAAGTTACAGATTATTTTATGCAACTCTTAAAAAACCTGCAAGTCTGTTTTAGACCCGTTTTTCAATTCATTTAACCTTTTTGTACTACCAGCCATTTTTTTTCCACTTAAAATTTCCTGCTTGGAGTGTTAACATTTGAAGGGCTTAGTCCATTGAGCTGTAACTCTACCTATGGTCAGAAAGAATTAACCTTCAGAGTTCTCCAATTGCCTATGGTTGGTTAACTCAGTAGGGGACATGGTGCTAATGAGGCAAAAGTTGCAGGTTTTATCCCTGTACATGCCAGTTAGCTGTGCTGAGGTCCATGACCTCGGTCTGCATTCTAACCCCTGCCAGCTTTCATACAAAATGCATGCTGCTGCTAACAACAGACACCAAGAGAACAGGAAGCAATTTGTGCAACTGCATCTCCATTTCTGGGGAAAAAAAAAAAAATTTTCACAAAGCATGTTTTGCTGACAGTGGGTCGGTGACTCCTTGCTGTACATGAAGGCCATTGAATACACAAAATTCCTTGATGAAAACAATAAATTCAGAGTTCAGTTCTTTTTTTAAATCACCGAAGGGCACACATAAAAGACATAAATTATTAAAATATATGTTGAGCCAACCAAACATAGCATTTTGTACTATTCTTCAAGCATTTTGTACTATTCTTCAAGGCCAACAAATGTGGCTTTACTAAATCAGAGTGGGAAGGCAGTACAGAATAAAGTTATTTGTTCTCACTATTGATTAGACTTTGGAATAATCAGTAGTAGTGCCCTGACTAATGAAATCCATGTAGGGGTACAGTGAGCTAAGTCTGAATATCTCAAGCAGTGGGGCAACATTTATGGAAGACTAAGTCTTTCTTGTTCATCAGTGTATCCTCAGTGCATATGACTTGCTCATAGCAGATATTTAATAAAGTCCTACATTTAAAACAAAATTTAAGTTGCAAAGTCAGTACATCTCAGCTTGTTTCTTTTTTCTTTATTTTTCCAACTTTACTTTTAGATTCAGGGGATACATGTATAGGTGTGTTACCTGGTTTTATTGTGTGATGCTGAGGTTTGGAGTATGAATGATTCCATCACCTAGGTACTAAGCACAGTACCCACTAGTTAGGTTTGTAGCCCCTTCCCTTCTCCTTCCCTCCCTCCCCACTCTATTAGTCCCCAGTATCTATTTTTGCCACTTTTATGTGCATGAGTACACAATATTTAGCTCCCACTTATAAGTGAGAACATGCAGTATTTGGTTTTCTGTTCCTGCATTAATTTGCTTAGGATAATGGCCTCCAGCTGCATCCATGTTGCTGCACAGGGCATGATTTCATTCTTTTTAATGGCTGCATAATATTCCATAGTGTACATGTACCACATTTTGCACCTCAGCTTTCCTAAAAATATTTAGCACCATTTCTTTCAGCTGGCCTTGCTCTAACTTGTCTCACACATATATAAAATATTATATATATATACACACACACACATATTATATATATACACACATACTAATACATACTGAATATATATTCACTTTGACATTTACTAAACTATCAGACTGATAAATAGAACCAAACCTAACAGAACAGCTTTTTGAAGAGGCGACTCATGACATTTCAGGCCGCATGACTGAATTTTTCAAAGTGTGAAGCTCCTTCTGTGGTAGCAGAGCCACTACTTGCTAGTGTTCTTTTAAAACTCCATTAATGGTGATAATCGCTCTTTTGATGATTTACGGATTAGGTCACTTATGTCAATCCCTAAAATAAAAAGGTCAACATCTTACAGTAGGTTTTGCCTCATTTTTTTGCTTTTTTTGTTTTTTGATTTTTTTTTTTTTCAGTCACCCCTGATCTCCATGACCTAGACTGATTTGAAAAACTGAGTGTCCTTGGAAGAATCTGAGCTGTTTGGAGTTTGAATGAGGCAGACCCCGTTTAACATTTTCCCCATCAATTATTAACTGTATTGTTATGGGCAGATGTTGCCCACCTATGCTTTATTTCTTGAATCTGCAATACAGGAGTAATAATAGCTACCTAGCAGAGCTATTGTGAAGCTTGGAGTTAATTCTTAACACAGTATCTGATGCATGGCAAGTGCTCGATATATGGTAACTTTATATTTTATTACCTTTATGTTA